ATTGAAAATGTGCATTGAAAAAAGAAACTTTAAGAGACATTTTGCATTAACATTGAATATCATCTTTACATTTGCGATGCAGATAAAATATGATTCTCTGTACTCACAGTATTTAAGTAGACATTGTCCCCGGTCTCATGGGATCCCTTGTACAAGGGGCTGTTGTGTCCAGTCACACTCTCCCAGGTGCCATGGAAGTCATACGTCATCACATTAATAAAATCCAGGTACCTGGTGAAAATCATGTGAGATTAAGTCAACCAAAACATAATGAAAGCTTGATGGGGAAAATGTGTTGAGTCACATGTTGGTGTACTTCGCAATCTCTGCAATTTCATAGCCAGCATCAGTGGTTCCTTTCCCAGCAGACACAGCAGCAGAGATCATTAAACTCGGCCGGCCAGTTGATGTTCCCTCAGCCTGATACGCCTCGAAAAGTTCCTGTACACCATAAATCATGGAGAAGTCCATTTTGGTTCATAATAAACACAACTTGTTGTGCACCAAAACAGTGATTTGTGATCTGACCTTGCATAACAGCGTGAATCTCTGCTTGTCCTCCGGGGGACTTCCTCTTGCACCGGGGTATTCCCAGTCCAAATCAAGTCCATCAAAACTATATGTTCTCAGTAGTTTGATAGAAGACTGGATGAATGCATTTCTGTTAGCTTGTGTTGACACCATTGTTGTGAATCTGGGTATAAGTTTCAGGGAAATAAAACATGATTTTGAGGAAGTGCAATACAGTGATCTTTAGCTATTGTGTTTTGCTAAATATCTCACTTTTGTGTTCCAAAGTTCCAGCCTCCGACTGCCAAGAGTGTCTTCAGGTCTGGATTACTGTGAGAATATATACATTTAGTTGCCTACAACATTTCACTGAGATAAAAAAGGAAAAGATACAACATTGTTTAACTGACCTCTGTTTGAGTCCATTGAAGGATTTATAGAGTTGATCATCATTCCATTCTATGGTGACCAACTCATTCGCATTGTTTATACCAGAAAAGGCGTAAATCAGGTGGGTGCACAGGTTCGGATCAATATTTTGAGGCATAAACTTCCCTTGGCCGGGACGATATTGGGACCAGTTGGTGAAATAACACACCAGTCTGGAGGAGACTACTATTGTTTCGTTAATATTGGAGATTCATTAATACTTCACATTCAACAAGTACACTTTGTTAAGTTGCTACCAAATATGTTCAGTATTAATATCAAATGTGAACTCACCCAAACTGCCCAGGGAAAGACAGAGACCTTCAAAGCAAAAATAGTCAGTGAATATTAGCTAAAACAGTAAAAAACATGTCATGCTTTTCGTAAGGCCTTACCTGCAATCAGAATCAACCGATTCATGGTTGTGCTTGGATGAGCTCTTTCTGAATACTGAGTAGCTTTTATTTCCTGCTGACAAACTACACAAACAGTGATAATCATCAACCAGGAAGGAATTTAGAAAGAGTATGTCCCAACTTTAGACTCTACGCTGTTGCGCCATACATGTCAAATAAGAGAAGCTGTTTAAGGTCATTTGTCACATGCCAAACCAGCAACCTGTGGGTGATCTTTTGTAGTCCTTCAGCTAAGCATCTCACAGAACAGAGATGTTAGTCAATAGTGACACACAGTGGCGGCTGGTGGAAAATATTTTAGGTGAGGCTGTGGAAATGGTGATCAAACAATACTAGGGGGCATTTTTTTGAGAAAATACCCCCTAAATTATGACTTCTGGTGATGTTAGAGGGGGGGGGGGGGAAGGACAATTTGAGGCTTAAAAATATGAGAAGACTGATCAATCCCTCCATAACTTCAGTGTGGTTAGCTATGAATCTTCCAAAACTTCCAAACACCTTGTCCTGGACATAGTTTCTACAGCATAAACTGTGCTAACAAGCTGAGATTCCACAGATTCTAGAAATATACAGTAAGTATCATCACTGAGCGATCAGAACTCGCGACAGGGGAAGCAAATACAGACATCACACAACGTAGCTTTAGGTAGCAAAACACGGAGATATGCTCACCTTTTGCAGAATAACAATTCTGATCAAAAACGAGAAAAACGCAGCTGAAGGTTAATCCATAGGTTAATCCAATGTGTCTGTCACTATGAAAAAATGATTGATGATCCATAATTCAATTTTGATGTCAAAAACGGAGTTTTCATTAGCTGCTAATGGTAGCTTCCAGAGTGTATGACAGCTTCCTGTTTTGTCTCCTTGGATCCTCACAGACTGCACCGGGCGCTCACGTAGGAGCCCTGTGACCATCAGATTTGACGACGCTGATTGGCTGAAATTATGTTTCGGCGGCATAGTTTAAAGATAGCAACAGTTGGCTTCTGCTGCACTTGCTGCACTTTCGTCTGGGCGCTGTGCATAGCGCCCAGACGAGATTTTATTGTACATTATACATTTTACTGATACCAATTATATAATATTTACCTTGTTTATTAAAAATAAAAATAAAAAATATATTTTTTAAATATATTTTTTTTAATTTTTTTTATTTTTAATGTGGGAAGAGGGGGGGCGGCGCCCCTATGGGCCGGCCGCCACTGGTGACACAACTTCTTAACGTCTTAAGTGAGGGCTACAAGCCTCACAAACGAACACACATCCTAAAGGTTATGCTTTTGTTTACATCAGACATACACAGACACATTGATTTGAAACAGCTTTATTTTGCTAGATTGAGTGCACGCAATCTTGTTTAAAATATCTATTGTTAATTGTGTTGTGTGTAATCCTATTGTCAGTGTCTTACAGCTCACCTTGCTCCTGGCAAAAGGCTAAGCTGATGGAAAACACCTGCCTTTATAGATGTGTCAGCTCATTGGACTACGCCATTCCTCTCAAACCCTGAGGGGTGTTTAAAGAGGCCACTCCATTTAAGCCACCCCTTTTTATAATAATAATCTTTTTTCTCAAAGCAATGATAAACCTGTGAGTTGAATGTAGAAAAGTCAGAATCAATATACATTTTTTTAATTTTAAAGTAAATCCAGATTGAACATAGTAAAAAGATGTAAATGATAGTGTCCGTCCAAAAATAAACCATTACTTATAGTTGAAAACCACCCTTGAATGTTGGGATAGTAGACTAAAAGCTTTAGGAATCCAAACTATAACATAAGTACCCTGTATCAAGATTGATGCAAAACAAGTGACATTTGACCTTTTTAGGGAGGTTTAGCAAAAAGAAACACCTTTTGGATAGAAATGGGTGTATTTGCCGTGTCTCTGGAACCCATTGGTCGATTTCGATGATTGACATCTCTTTTGAACCGTTAGAGCCAATAGAATCGAAGGGGAATTTCCACATACACACACACGTTACCATTGAGAAATTAGAGCTATGCGCACGCAGTTTGCCCACTAGATTAGAAAACTAGATTTATTGCTGATGGATTATCAGAAATCATTTCAAAGTGACACAGACACATTGGATTAACCTATGGATTAACCTTCAGCAGTGTTTTTATCGTTTTAATGCCATTGAAGACAACTTTTGATCAGAAAACAACAAAGGTAAGACATATTGCCGTGTTGGCTACCTAATGCTACGTGGTGTGATGTCTTTGTTAGCTTCTCATGACGCGAGTTCGGATCGGTCAGTAATGATACTAATACCTGTCGAATCTGTGCAATCTCAGTTTGCTAATCGATATCTTGTTTGTGCAGATACGATAAGTAATAAGGGTATTGTAACGTGAGTTCTGTGCTAAGTGTGTTAGCATTTTTTCGCTCAGGGCTAATTCAGAGCCTTTGTTATTACCCTTATGTTTCGTTTTGCTAAAAATGGTTAATATTGTCTGATAGCTGAGTTTCTTCCCGTTAAGTGGGTATGACACATTAATAGGTTTTTAAATGTTAAGAAGCCCTCAGAGGCTCAGACGCTGTTTCTTGCAGATGTTGTGATTCACAATGGGGCTTAACATTCAGTTTCCTGCTGGAAAATGAATCCTCCTTTGTACAAACAGAGAGGCGTTTAAAAGCCAATTCTGTGTCTCAATGTACAATGCAGTAGAAAGTAGACTGCAATGGTAAGATAATCATGTCAACAAATTGGTTTCCATATTATTTGGAGAGCATTTACTTCAAATAAATACCTAATATGCTATCTGTGGCAGCTGTTACTACCAGCCAAAGCTTTCACCAGGCATATTAAAGGTTATGTTATTTTATTTGACATCACACAATAAGACACTCAGACACTTTGCCCCTGCATCCTCTTTAAGAATGTGTGTGAATGGGTGAATGCTGACTTTGAAGGGCTTTGAAGAGCCTTAAAGACTGAATAAAGCGATATATAGTAAATACAGTCCATGATGCTGAATCCTACCAGCCTAAGTACATACACATGGATAAATGGAAAGCCACACCTAAAGACCTAAAACTTTTTGTCACTTGTTGATTTTTTTACCCATCTTTATCTCTTTAAATACTTTAAAGAAGACACATTATGCTTATTGTCAGGTTCATATTTGTATTTTGTGCTATTACTGTGACATATTTACATGCTTTAATGTGTAAAAGGGCTTTATTTTTCTCATACTTTCCTGTGCTGCAGCTCCTCTTTTGCTCTGATTGGTTAGCTAGCCGGCTCTGTTGTAACCGCTTAGAGATATCCGGCCCTTAGCCCATCACATTCGTAGCACTTGCCAATAGAAGCACGAGTGTTACTTAATAATGTGACGGAAGAAAAACAAAGGAGTTCACACAGCGATTCAGGCAAGGGGGGGGAGTGTGTTGAGAGAAACTCCCTCTGGCATGAATTTAGGTATTTCAGCCTATAACACTACATGAAAGGGTAAACCCCCCATTTGATGTATAACCTTTTTCTCATAGGGCTTACCCTGTTCCTTCACAGTGAGCATAACAAGTAAAGTGTTGTGCAGTCTGAGGTTTGTATACACACATTTAACCAAATAAAAGAAGCCTTTCTGTTTAATGCATCATATATTTATTTAAGGCCAGTCACAGCAGCTACAACTTTCATTGAAAATGAGACCATCTGGGCAACTGTGAAGGAATATTATTCCCTCGAAGCACCGATAGAAGTTGGCGGGATTGTCCAGGCTTCTGTAGTAGCCGTCGGGCTGCCCGGCACAAAAACTTCCAGAAGCGGCAGTTGTGGTGGTGGGAGTGGTGGTGGGTTTGGTAACGGGAGTTGTTGTTGTAGGCATTGATGTGGTTGTGGTAGAGGGAGTTGTGGTGGTCTGCATTGTTGTGGTTGTGGTAGGTAGAATTGTGGTCGTAGGCAATTCTGTGGTTGTGGTAGGTAGAGTTGTGGTTGTAGGCATTTCCGTTGTTGTGGTAGGTAGAGTTGTGGTGGTCGGCATTGCTGTGGTTGTGGTAGGTAGAATTGTGGTCGTAGGCAATGCTGTGGTTGTGGTAGATAGAGTTGTGGTCGAAGGCATTGATGTCGTTGTGGTAGGTAGAATTGTGGTCGTAGGCAATTCTGTGGTTGTGGTAGGTAGAGTTGTGGTTGTAGGCATTTCCGTTGTTGTGGTAGGTAGAGTTGTGGTGGTCGGCATTGTTGTGGTAGGTAGAATTGTGGTCGTAGTTAATGCTGTGGTTGTGGTAGATAGAGTTGTGGTTGTAGGCATTGATGTGGTTGTGGTAGAGGAAGTTTTGGTCGTAGGCATTGTTGTGGTTGTGGTAGGTAGAGCTGTGGTGGTTGGCATTGTTGTGGTTGTGGTAGGTAGAGTTGTGGTCGTAGGCAATGCTGTTGTTGTGGTAGATAGAGTTGTGGTCGTAGGCATTGATGTGGTTGTGGTAGGTAGAATTGTGGTCGTAGGCAATGCTGTGGTTGTGGTAGATAGAGTTGTGGTCGTAGGCAATGCTGTTGTTGTGGTAGGTAGAGTTGTGGTCGTAGGCATTGTTGTGGTTGTGGTAGGTAGAGTTGTGGTGATCGGCATTGCTGTGGTTGTGGTAGGTAGAATTGTGGTCGTAGGCAATGCTGTGGTTGTGGTAGATAGAGTTGTGGTCGTAGGCATTGATGTTGTTGTGGTAGGTAGAATTGTGGTCGTAGGCAATTCTGTGGTTGTGGTAGGTAGAGTTGTGGTTGTAGGCATTTCCGTTGTTGTGGTAGGTAGAGTTGTGGTGGTCGGCATTGCTGTGGTTGTGGTAGGTAGAATTGTGGTCGTAGGCAATGCTGTGGTTGTGGTAGATAGAGTTGTGGTCGTAGGCATTGATGTGGTTGTGGTAGGTAGAATTGTGGTCGAAGGCAATGCTGTGGTTGTGGTAGATAGAGTTGTGGTCGTAGGCAATGCTGTTGTTGTGGTAGGTAGAGTTGTGGTCGTAGGCATTGTTGTGGTTGTGGTAGGTAGAGTTGTGGTGGTCGGCATTGTTGTGGTTGTGGTAGGTAGAGTTGTGGTCGTAGGCATTGTTGTGGTTGTGGTAGGTAGAGTTGTGGTGGTCGGCATTGTTGTGGTTGTGGTAGGTAGAATTGTGGTTGTAGGCAATGCTGTGGTTGTGGTAGATAGAGTTGTGGTCGAAGGCATTGATGTCGTTGTGGTAGGTAGAATTGTGGTCGTAGGCAATGCTGTGGTTGTGGTAGGTAGAGTTGTTGTCGTAGGCATTGATGTGGTTGTGGTAGAGGAAGTTTTGGTCATAGGCATTGTTGTGGTTGTGGTAGGTAGAGCTGTGGTGGTCGGCATTGTTGTGGTTGTGGTAGGTAGAGTTGTGGTGGTTGGCATTGTTGTGGTAGGTACAATTGTGGTTGTAGGCAATGCTGTGGTTGTGGTAGATAGAGTTGTGGTCGTAGGCATTTATGTGGTTGTGGTAGGTAGAATTGTGGTCGTATGCAATGCTGTGGTTGTGGTAGGTAGAGTTGTGGTGGTCGGCATTGTTGTGGTAGGTAGAATTGTGATCGTAGGCAATGCTGTGGTTGTGGTAGATAGAGTTGTTGTCGTAGGCATTGATGTGGTTGTGGTAGAGGAAGTTGTGGTCATCGGCATTGTTGTGGTTGTGGTAGGTAGAGCTGTGGTGGTCGGCATTGTTGTGGTTGTGGTAGGTAGAGTTGTGGTCGTAGGCATTGATGTGGTTGTGGTACAGCAGCTACAACTTTCATTGAAAATGAGACCATCTGGGCAACTGTGAAGGAATATTATTCCCTCGAAGCACCGATAGAAGTTGGCGGGATTGTCCGGGCTTTTGTAGTAGCCGTCGGGCTGCCCGGCACAAAAACTTCCAGAAGCGGCAGTTGTGGTGGTGGGAGTGGTGGTGGGTTTGGTAACGGGAGTTGTTGTTGTAGGCATTGATGTGGTTGTGGTAGAGGGAGTTGTGGTGGTCTGCATTGCTATGGTTGTGGTAGGTAGAATTGTGGTCGTAGGCAGGACCCAAAAATATTTTGTTTTATCATTTATTGTGTTATTGTTTTTACCCAACGTTAACATCCCATCATATTTTGATATTACATAGCATGACGTTTGAGATTAAAAGGGAGCTCATTTGCTTTCTTCATATTGAATTATAATAATGTAAATAAGTTATTATGACAATACAGTTGATGGCATTTAATTAAAAAAAACTTAAAACCTTCTCTTCTTAAAGGATGTAAAGAAATGTTTTGTGTTCTAATTACCTGGAACCAGGAGATTATACAGATGGCTGATGAGGGGATTGCTGCCCATTCTGCAGAACTCTCCATTCATATCATCCAGGTCGAGAGACCAAAGAAATGCTCCTCCAAAGTTGTTCATCTTTAGGTAACTGACCTGGGAGGATGAAGAAAAAATACTTTAAGGGTTGATGCCATGCGGACAAAATGTCTATTTAAAGCAGGGACGTGCGGTCAGGCTTCATCTGTCTTCATGAATAGTACAAATTCAAATAACAATAAAATGAAAAAATATTAATATTTTTCCACTGGTCTGTGCTATAAATGTATTTTCTGTATGATCCCAATAATTTACAGAGACTTTACTATGCGTACTGACTTTCCATAGACTAGCTAATATATGTAATGTATGTATCTACACGCAGATCACGCAGACTGCGTGGGGCCTCACCTTGCTGAGGCGGCCTCATATGGCGGACGAGCTATGTGCGAATGCGGCGCAATTAATCTTATGCGCAAATGCGGCGCTCCACAGTTTCAGTTTCCCTGCTGCGAGGCTCCGGCGCTATCAGTTCTAACAGCTCCGACGATCCACTAGCACTAGATTTTTGTCCAGAAGGATATGCGCATGGACCTCATCTTCAAGTAAAGGTTTTATTGAAAATGGGATCTTACTAAGAGAGAACAATCCAATATTTAAATGAAACTACATTTGTGGGTATCCTTTTGTTGAACGGTCTGTTTAAAATTAATTTTAAAAAAGTTTTGAAAATAACAGAATATTTCGATTGAGGTAAAAATATAATAATATTTGTAAATCTGACACTGACTCTGAAAGAGTGGGGAGAGGCAGTTCATCTGTATTTAAAGCTACAGACACATAATCAGCTATTTTAAACAGGGCTGAAACAGAGGGGTTTATGGGATGCTACAAGGCATGATCTGTTTGGTATTTCGAGCCGAACACTTCAGAGACATGTTTTGTAAATATCTGAGACCTAATGTATAATATATTGTAGAAAAAGAGTATAACAGGGGACCTTTAACCAGATTTGAGCACAATCAGTCGTTTGCAAAGGATTATCTGCAGTATTTTGCCTACCTTAATATCGAGGCTTTCTTTGTTGTCAAATCCAACCCACTGATTTTCTGTGGTGGCATATGGAACTCTCTGATCAGGTATCAGCTCGGTTGTAACTCCATCAAGATAAAGGCAAGTCTGTACAGAAGGGTGAAATGTCACAATGTATTTTTCAATCAGAAATGTGTCACACCAAATACTGTCGAATATGTTAGGCTATAATAAAGTGATCGATTTAAATGTATTTCATTCACAGGTTGCAATTTACCTCATAAGCAGCCCAGAATCCCTCTTCCCCAGTGTAACATCCTTCTTCACCAGGACCATTCGCTGGTGCTCCAACATCACTGGAGGCAGTGGAGAGATCAAAAGCTCTCCCGTATGCCGCTAACCCCAAGTTTAGCTTTTGTGCTGGTGCTCCCTGGTCCCGCCAATACCGCATAGCATAGTCCTAAAATGTGGATTTTAATAACATGATACAATGAGAAGGCATCTCTAAATATGTATATTATTTTGCTGTTTACATATGAATCCCTGTACTTACAGTGTTAGAGTAGGTTTTGTTCCCTGTGTCCTGGGATCCCTTGTATAAGGGGCTGTGATGTCCTGTGACACTTTCCCAGGGGCCGTGAAAATCAAATGTCAACACATTAATGAAATCCAGGTGCCTGATAAAGAGAAGAAGAGATCACATTCAGAAAAACAAGAAAATAGGTCATCTTGGGTAAAATGTAAAGAGATACATATATTTATTTTTTACATGGCAATCTGTGGGACTTGATAACTGGCATCGATGGTTGCTTTCTCAGCAGAGACACTAGCAGCGACGATTAAGCTGTCACGGTTGGCTGCTTTCCCCTCAGACACAAATGCTTCCTTGAGCTCCTATACAAGAAGAATGGTTCAGTCTCGGTTTAGATAACAAACTGATATTTTCATATACCTATGTAGTGAGAGAAACTCAAGATCTGACCTTGCAAAGCATTGTGAAACTCTGCTTGTCCTGTGATGGGCTTCCAGCTCCTCCAGGGTTCCTCCAGTCAAGGTTTAGGCCATCAAACCCACTTTCTCTCAGTAGTTTAATAGCAGACTGGATGAACGTTTCTCTGTTTTGTGTTGTGGCCACCTTTGCAGTAAATCTGGTAAACAGTTGAACCACAGTGGTTTTTTAAAGCTAATGTCAATTAAAGAAATCATAAATATAGCTGTTGAACTAATTTCAAGTGTTTATTTGGATTATTATGTAATTGCTAAAATAAATGTAAGCACACCAATACATCATGAATGGGGAAATTCAAGAGCTGCTAATAATTTTATTTGCATTGTCACAGAAAAACCAAGAAAGTAACTTACTTTTGTGTGTCAAAGGTCAAGCCACCAACTGCCAACAGGGTTTTGAGTGCTGGATTTCTGTGTGAAGATAAAAGTCCAGTAATAATTGATTACAAACACAAAATTCAACATAATTAACACAATATTTAAATGCTAAAAAACGGACCTGGTTTTGAGTCCATTAAAGGACTGATAGCGTTGTATGTCAGTCGCACTGCTTGGGACCAGTTCATTTTGGTTGTCGATGTCGGCAAAAGCATAGATCAGATGGGTACACTTGTTCGGATCAATATCTGAAATTGTGAACTTCCCGTAGTCCGCTCTATTTTCAGCCTCGCTGTTATAGTTTCTTCCCGCGGGCAGTGAGACTGTTAAAAAATTGAACTGTTGAAACAACTTCAAACATTCAACTGCTACTCAGTAGTATGTATCTAATACCTAATATATATATATCATTCCAATAACTTGTATATAGACTCATACTGCACTATTCCACATCATAACTTTATTTCATTTTTATAACTATTATTATTTTTGTATTGCTCTTGCTCTTATTGTTATTATGTTATGTTATTATGTTGCATTGTTGGAGAAGCCTGTGACATAAGATTTTCAACTGCATAATTACTCTGTAGCTATGTCAGATTGACAATAAAGAACCTTGAACCTTGAACCTTGATAGTAACACACCAGCCTGGAGGAAGAGGCTGAGAGACAGAAGAACATCAAGTATGTCAGTTTACTTGACCAAGAGTTGTTAGTTGAGGTACATTATTTATCTTCATTGCTACCATTACTTCTAGGATTGATTATACAAAATGCATGTTATAAACTTACCCAAGCTGGTGATGATCAAAAAGAGACCTTCAAAAGGATAGAAAGGTAAGTATTGGAGTTGATCCAAATAAAAACATATAATACAAAAAATTCCCACTCTTCTAATCTTGTGCTTAACATTTTCTTTGTCAAGGTTACACTCTTATCATTCAACAGCTAAATTCAGTTAAGGTAAATGGAATTACATCAATATGTGTTCTGGATCAACTTGTGGGTTTTGTGAGAATAATCCAAAGTAATGATGACAATGTTTCTGAAAAGAGTTGCCAGTGCCTTTTCTGAATAAGATGATTTGCTGTAAACACAGCAAACCAACTTAAATTCACTGCCCCTTTTGAGTAAAAAGTTACTTGACAATGCCTTACCTGCAGTTAGAGTGACTTTGCACATGGTGTCACTATGTAGAAAAGAAATAGAACGAAATGTGTTTTAATATACAGCCATGTTCAAACAAATCCTCACTGTTGAACAAACTATAAATATGCTTTGGTGTATATGATGAATACACAAACACAAAAAGAAGATTTAAGTAGGTAAGTATTTAGAAAAAAAAGGAACAAATCTGTAACTATTCCAACCCTACTTTCGTGTTTGTTCCACCCCCCTTACCTTTGGAGTTCACAGTCAAATTTGACCGGTCTGTTTTAACTGCTCTTACATTAACATGAACACCATTTATCATCATCAAATTGTATTTAACACCATTTTAAGTCAAATGTCTCAGGCTACTGGTTAATAACTGCAGTGAATATACAAAGAATAGACACTGAAAATGTATTGCAAAATAAACACGATTGTCGATTTGGGTGTGTACTCTGTTGGATGAACATAATCTAGGGTTACCTATTCATTTCCATTCATTTTTTTACCAGAAGCACCATAGCTGTTACAAAGTGGACCAAACCACTCAAAATTCAATGAAAGTGGTGATCAGTTATTTAATACAGCTCTAGAAAAAATCAAGAGACCACTCCAAATGTTTCTTAAATCTCTATCTCTGCATGTATGGCAGCCATTCCATTCAGTTTCTGTTGAATTCCAACAGAGAGAAATGTTGTCAGTAGTTTATATGATTAAAAGTTATTTTATTTTCCTCAAACCCATACCTATAAATAGCTGTATGTTCATAAGCCTACTGTGGAGGATATAAGGCCTTGAGGCAATCAAATGTAAAACACAATATGTATGATTGATGAAAGTAGTAAATGTGTCAGATTAAACTCAACACAACAGGAGGTTAAACATTTGTATAAAATTAAAGAAATATAAATATGCAAAAATGTAAGTAGAATAATAAAAATAACAATTTACTCTAATAATAAAAAATAAAAATGTATCTGCAGTAAATCAGAATTTAAATTGGCAGAGCTGTGCAGTTTAATAACTAAACTATATATTTTGTCAAGGACAAAATCCTTTCTTCAAACAATTGTGTGTCTGCTGCAGGAAATACAGAGTAACATAAATTATTTCATTTTTCAAGCCAACCTGTCTTATTGACTAAAAACTGTTTGTTTGTGTACTTTAAAACCAAAAAACAATCTGTTGCCATTTAAAGTGTAATTAAATATCACTATAAGGAGATTTTAAAGTTAACCTCAAACCCCATATACAGTAAGAGAGTCAATATCATTAATGTCACGTCTGAATTAAAGGTGGGGTAGGTAATTTTGGAGAAACCAGCTCGAGATCGCTAGAATTTGAAAATACACAACCGAAAAAATCTGCCACTTCCTTACAGAGCCCCTCCTCCAACACACAGGAACGCGCACATGACCAATGAGGGCACGAGATAAGTCTGTGCACAGATGGAAAGCTGACAGGCAGGTAGGCCATCCAGTTATTTTAGCCGGGCCGGCTAAAATGATTGGTCGTGCTTTTTACAGTATTACGGCTTCCACAGATGACATTTTTTTATGGATTTTTTGTCAAAGCACTTAAGATATTCATTGCTATCGGGATGTTAAGAGCATTCCATGGAATATAACAAAAAGTGTATCTCGAGCCGGTTTCTCAAACTTACCTACCCCACCTTTAATTAAAATCTGTGATGTCAACTCCACGTTAGTAGAGAACAGGCTGCATTTAGTGGAAAAAGCAGCGTTGCCATGAGAGTCATGGCAGGTGATGTTAGATGGGGGGAGGAAGGACAATTTGAGGCTTAAAAATATGAGAAGACTGATCAATACCTCCATAACTTCAGTGTGGTTAGCTATGAATCTTCCAAAACTTCCAAACACCTTGTCCTGGACATAGTTTCTACAGCATAAACTTTGCAACAGTACAGTAGGCCCACACAAACTGCAGAACACCGGGGCTTTGGGAACACTGATTTAATTCCCATTTAACCTGTTAAGGGGCTTTTTTCCCCCTTTTTTTTTCTCACGAAACTGTGTCTCAGGGCTTCTTAAAATGTAATAAACTATTCATGTGTCCTACTCAGAGGAAACGCATCTAACTGATGATATGAACCATGTTTACCGAAAAAAAACACAAGTCTCACAAGAAGCGTCTAAATGAGCCCTGAGCGAAAAAATGCTAACGCACTCTAGGTATAAATCAATCGATATACTTATCGGATATGCACAAACAAGTTTACAAGCTGAGATTCCACATATTCTAGAAATATAAGTATCATCACTGAGCGATCAGAACTCGCGACAGGGGAAGCAAATACAGACATCACACGACGTAGCTTTAGGTAGCAAAACATGGAGATATGCTCACCTTTTGCAGAATAACAATTCTGATCAAAAACGAGAAAAACGCAGCTGAAGGTTAATCCATAGGTTAATCCAATGTGTCTGTCACTTTGAAAAATGATTGATGATCCATAATTCCATTTTTATATCAAAAACGGAGTTTTCATTAGCTGTAGCTTCCAGAGTGTATGACAGCTTCCTGTTTTGTCTCCTTGGATACGAGTCCAAACAACTCACAGACTGCACCGGGCGCTCACGTAGGAGCCCTGTGACCATCATATTTGACGACGCTGATTGGCTGAAATTATGTTTTCGCTGCATAGTTTACACGTTACAGATAGCAACAGTCAGCTGCTAATGGCTGCTGCTGCACTGGTTGAGGGCTCCTCTCTTAGCGCCCAGACGAGAGAAGGTACACCAAGGCCAGGCAGGAAACATGTGACTTATCAGTAACTTTAGACATCGTAACACAATTTTAAACGAGATTTCATTGTAGATTATACATTTTACTGATACCAATTATATAATATTTACCTTGTTCATTAAAAATAAAAATAAAAAAATATATTTTTTTTTAAATATATTTTTTATTTTTATTTTTATTTTTATTTTTATTTTTTAATATGGGAAGAGGTGGGGCGGCGCCCCTAGCGCCCCTATGGACCGGCCGCCACTGGATAAAACGTAATGAAGGGGCCTGGCGTTGACCAAGACGCCGCCGTGCATATATCCTCCACACTCACACCGCTGAATAAGGCTGTTGATGCAGCCACAGCTCGTGTGGAGTGCACACGGACCCCCATGGGACAGGCTCTCCCTGCCTGCTTGTAGGCGTGTGCAATGGTTTCGCAAAGCCAGCCTGCCAGGCGTTTCTTGGACAGAGCTTTTCCAGTCACCCCGCCCCCGAAGCACACAAACAGCTGTTCAGTGCGTCTCAGGGTAGCTGTGTGCTCTACATAATATGCCAACGCGCGCACCGGGCAGAGGAGGTGTAATTTTGCTTCCCTAGCCCCACCATGGGGTGGAAGACTAAAACCCCCCAACTGAATAGCCCTCGACCTGAACGCACTCCTTAGGCTCTTGGGCACAAAGGAGGGGTTCGGTCTGAGTGGCGCCCCACTCTGGTCACCCCGAATCAGTAAACAGCTCGGGTGCACCGACAGAGCGGTTAACACGGACACTCTTTTGGCTGACTTTAAGGCAAGTAGCAACGCTGTCTTCCACGACAGTGCTTTCAGGGAGGAGAGCTCAAGAGGCTCAAAAGGCTCCGTGACCAGAGCCTCGAGCACCAGCGGCAGGTCACACTGTGGGGCGGAGGAGTGCACTACCGGGCGCAGCCTCCTGACCCCCTGTAAAAACCGCAACATCAGTGGATGAGAGAAGGCTGACCTGCCACCAAAATCCCTCATGACAGGACGAGATGGCTGCTGCATACACTTTCACTGTGGAATGAGCAAGCCCTCTGTCCACCAGTAACTGTAAGAAGGATAAAATAGAGCCCAACTCACAAGATAGGGGCTCCATTCCCCGCTCCTCACACCAATGCTGGAATCTCAGCCACTTTGGCCTGTAACAGGCTGTGGTGGATTCTGCTCTAGCTGCCTGGATAGACTGAATAACGCTGTCAGACAATCCACCCTGTCTCAGCCTGTCCCTCTCAGGAGCCAAGCCTGAAGAGGACGGCCCAGAGTGGGTAACGCCCCGATTGCACCTGCCCCTTGAGACATCGCCCCCCAGAACTGGGGGATCGCCCAGGGCTGGCCCACCTTCATCTGTGTCATTTCTGAGTACCACAGAGCCCCGACGCGATTCGGTGCCACCAGAATGACTGCCAGACGTTCTCGCCTCACTCTCCCCAGGAGAGGGAGAATGAGACGCAGCGGTGGAAAGGCGTATAGCAGCTTCCTTGGCCATGGCTCGTGTGCAAACGCGTCCACCCCCAAGGGTGGGTCGTCGCTCAGGGCCATGGAGAACCACAGGGCACAGTGGCTGTTGCGCCGGCTGGCGAACAGGTCCACTTCTGCTCTCCCGAACTGGGCCCAGACCTGCTTCACCACCTCCAGGTGAAGCACTCGCCTGGCAGGGGGCCGCCCCTCGACATGAGGTCGGCCCCTCTGTTCTCCAGTCCCGGGACATGGAGGGCTCTCAGAGATAACACCACATCTGAGGCCCATAACCACAGCTCCTCCGCTGTGGTCAACAAGGAGGCGGAGCGGACTCCGCCCTGCCTGTTGATATAAGCCACTGTGGTGCTGACCATTACATGTCTCCCCTGAATTAGGGACATGAAATGCCGGAGGACTAACACTACTGCCCGTAGCTCTAGGAGGTTGCTGTGTCGAAACTCTGTCAGAGCCCAGCGCCCACCTATAGCCCTCTTCAGGCAGGTCCCTCCCCATCCTGTTCCGGACGCGTCCGTGAACACTGTGATGTAGGAGGTCACCCGTCCCAGTGGAGACCCCCTCCGGAGGTGGTCCGGAGACCCCCAAAACCGGAGGTTGCCCTCCACTGATCGGGGGAGGGAAGGTCACCAGCCGTCGTTTGTGCCTCCAAACGCAGGCTGGAGAACCACCTCTGCAGGCGGCGCATATGTAGTAACCCCAGCGGGACCACCATGTGAGCAGCCGCCATGAGACCCAGAGTCTGCATGACAGTTAAAGCTGTCACTGTTGCCCCCTGTCGCAGCCT